GCCCTAACTTTCCCATTTAGACGTTAATATATATACGGGGGTATTTACCCAAGATGGGTATTTAGAGGTATTTATAAAATTTTATTCAAATTGAGTTGATGGCAGTTTTGCAACCACTTCAAGAATGCAGAGTCGATTATCGATACACCAAACATATTTATAGCATTTACAAGAATGCTACAATGACGGTAAAATTGCATAAAAGTACCATTGGTCGTGGGGTAAGATAAGGTGATACAATGTTGAACCCAATTTGTTCATCACAATCCTGGAGACAGCATTTAAACAACTGAATTGGACCCGAAAAGCATAAACATTGATGGCAAATACCTAAGTAATTCCTCGTCTTCAATGTCTATTTCATCATCTTGCTCTCGTTTTTTTCCGAATCTGTTATATTTTTACTTGTATCATTTTTATACATAGGTACTGTTTGGGTATTTATCCTGGGCTGGGGTAAATACCCGGATAAATACCCATTTTATAAATACCTACCCGCCGAGTATTTACAAACGCCCATTACTGATCATGACTGAAAAACCTGAAAAATAGGCCCGGAATTACAATGTTGCCTAGGGCCCGCTTTAGCCTTAGCCCGCCACTGGATGCTTTCCATATATTCTAAAAAAATCCGTCTTAACAGACACATGGCTAAACCCGAGTATTTCTAGTTCTAGGTCTAATGTTAGTTCTAGTGACAGTGTTAAGTAGCATTGGTTAGCATATTTTTATTGAACTAAAAGTAGAACTACCACTAGACTGTCTTTTGAGACATCCGGCTAAATCCGAATGATTCTAGTTCTAAATCGAGTGTTAGTTCTAGTGACCGTGTTATGTAGCGCTATTAAAAACTCGATAACGCTAGATTGTATATTGTTATTGAACTGTGAGGACGCACGGCTATACCCGTAACTTTTTTGTTCTAGGTCTAGTGTTAGTTCTAGTTTTAATTGTTATTCAGCAGTGATGTAACGAACGGGCCTTCGACCTTTGCATCTATTCCCGGAATGTATCAGTCCTCTCAGATTCTACCATCCTTGATTGTTTAAAGCCATGTAAATTGAACGCAACGATGTAAATAATTATCCAAATTTGTGTGTATTAAATTCGGGCTAAACCGGAATGTTTGTAGTTTTAGGTTTAGTGTTAGTTCTATTGCTAGTGGTAGTAGTGGTAGACCTAGAACTAGAAACATTCAGGTTTAGCAGTACGTCTTTTAAGACGGCTTAACCCGAAGGTTTCTAGTTCTAAGTCTAGTGTTAGTTCTAATTTTAATTGTTATTCGGTGTTAAATTATTGTATATTCTTATACAACTAAAAGTAGAACTAATACTAGACCTAGAACTAGACACATTTAGGTTTAGCCGTCTTAAGAGACGCAAGGCTAAACCCAAATGATTCTAGTTCTATGTCTAATGTTAGTTCTAGTTATAGTGTTAAGTTAATTCTAGTTTTAGTCGTTTCAGCACCAAGTTATTGTATATTTAGAGCACTTGGAACTTATTTCTGAAGAAGGTTATAGTGCTAGTTCAATTTGCTGCATTTTAGTTCAATATATTACATTAATAATAATAAAAGTATTAAATCCGCTCCTATCTTGTTTATGATGCAAATGGGTTAAGTTATATGGATTTAATACAAAAAAATAAATTTTAAATTTAATAACTTCTATCTAGCGCCATCTTTTGCTCGGCGTTCGTTCTTATTCACAATAACTGCACAGAATAACAGTTATTCTTATTATAATTACAAAAGCTAAAATCTGGTTGATACTTTTATGTATAAACAATAATTACTTCTAATAAATTAATAATTTTAAAATAAATTTTTATTGAAAAGGGTTGCATTTCATCAAATTTATCTTATACTTTTTAATTAATAATAATGTTAAAAAAAATAAGTTGATCTTTAATTTTATTTTATTAAGACTCAATATAAAAAGATTATTTATAAATATTACAATAACATTTATAAATAAAACAACTAAATTTAAGTAAAAATTAGGTTGGTATTCAAAAAGTTACTAAAAATCCAACTTCAAACCAAACCAAAATAGACGCTATCCGCCATTAATTCCGCCATTTCATTCGCGTTACGCTTGGTGAAGACGTCGAAGTAGGAATAAAGTTACAAAAAGCCGTTTTTTCAACTTTAAAGCGCGAATTGAACGGATACCTGTGGTAAGTAATCAATTTTAAGCATATCTTATATAATAACATTTCGAGTAAGCATCCAATTTACCGGGAAAAATCCGATTGGTTTTTTGTTCTATTTCACCGCACGGTTTTAGAGGATTGAATAGAAGAAGATTTCGTTACAAAATAACTTATTCTCGATTAGTATACTTTGAAGTATAAAATCCGTTAAAATTTTAAGGTTGAAAATTAACCTAAAACATTTTTTCGAACAAAATATTCACGGAGGCTTTTCATCAACAAGATGGAGTACAAATTGAAATGCTTTTGTTATCTTGATTTTTCCAGCACTTTGAGCCAGAAATTGGAAAGAATCTGTCTCGGGTCAAAATCGAGAGTTAAATTTAATACTTAAATATATTTGTGTGTATATTGGAACATAAAACAAGAATGGAATTCAATTCATATAAACAAATATTAAAAATGGTTTAAATCATCATCTAATTTTAAGCGTTTTCCATCAATATTTATTGTTTTGGAAAGGTGTCCTCTACTTCGAAATGTTCCACGTTGATAATTCCACTCAAAATCACTTATACATTAATTGCGTATAAAATGCAAATCAAAATTATTCTGCTTTTTCGAGAGGATTATTATATTTTTAATTTAAAAAAAAGGGAACAATTCAAGAATCATCATGTGGCTTAAAAATCGCTGTTTTTTTTAATTAATGTGAAATGACCCAAAAAACACGTTAAAAATAAAAAGAAAGTCTGAAAAAGTGTAGAACATACCGAAAAATCACATTAAAGTTTTGATGTAACATCACAAGCAATGTTAACCATGCATTTTCCTATTAAACCGGTCAACACCTAACCTACAAATTGTTTGTTTTATAACCACACACAAAATCAATCTGATAAACTTAATAATAAAGTTAGTTTCAGTAAACTAGGTGAAATTACAACCTATATTTATGGATGAACAGAAGAATAGTTTCAGTAAATGGTCTTCAGCCAGTAGTATTTTAATCTCCAAGCACTTAGTAGTGTTTTGGCAGCATTAAAATAGTCTTTGCCAACAATATTTAGCATTCTGAAAGTAGTTAATAGTCTTTTGGAAACAATATCTTGTCTTTCCAGGCAGATAATAGTTTCTCCCAGCAATATTTAATCTTCTCCAAGCAGGTCCTAATCTTTTTTAGTAATATATGGCGCTCTGAAAGCAGTAAGTAGTCTTATGGAAACAGTATCTCGTCTTTCCAATCAGTTTGTAGTTGTTTTTAGCACTATCTAGTCTTCTCCAAACAGATTGTAATCTTTTCCACCAGTATCTAGCCTTTTGGAAGCAGTAGGTACCTCTTTTGGAGAGCATATCTTTTTTCCAAGTAGTTATTAGTCTTTTCCAGCAGTATCTAACATTCTGGAATCAGTTTCCACTCTTTTCCAAACAATTATTAAAGTCTTTGAAAGCAATAACTAGTCTTGGAAGCAGTATTTCGCCTGTCCAAGTAAGTCAAAACCTTTAACAACAGTGTTCAGCGTTCTGGAAGCAATAGGTATTATTTTAAAAACAGTATCTAGTCTTTTCTAAGTAAGTTGTGGTATTTTTCTGCAGTATCTAGCATTTTAGAAGCAGTAGGTAACTTTTTGAAATAGTATTTCCTCCATCCCTGCAGTTTTTAGTCTTTTCCTAGCAGTATTTAATCTTCTAATAGCAATAATTAGTATTTTGCCAAAAGTATCTAGCATTCAGGAACCAATAAGTTAAAGACATTTTAGTCATTATGTGTCGAAAACCTAAGAAACAACCGTATTTCACCCGAAAATATGCGTTTTAACCAAAAATGTTGCAAATATATATGGTCGATGACGTCACAAAAAACTTTAAAGCAATTTTTCGGTAAGTTTTACACTTCTCCGCTTTTTTTATTTGTAACTCCTTACTTGAGTGATTTCCCGCCGATTAAAAAAAAAATGACTATTTTTAAGCGACATGATGAATCTTGAATAATACCAAAAATAAAAAAGATCAAAACATTTATTTAGTTTTCTTCCTTCGTTTTGTTTTTTTCAAAAGACTAGGAAAAAGTAATTATGGTCGACATGGAAGATAAGGATAGAAGCAGTAGGGATCGTTCTCGTCGTGAAAGACCATCGCGTTTCTCCGAAGGCAGTCGTGACCGAAGTGCGGATCGCGGAAAAGATCGTGGTGGAATGAAATCGTCGAATTGTCGCGTTTACGTCTCGAACATCCCATACGAATATCGCTGGCAAGATTTGAAAGATCTCTTCAGAAGTCAGGTAGGCGACGTTGCTTTCGTCGAACTCTTCGTCGATGAAAATGATAAACCGCGGGGTTGCGGTATCGTCGAATTTTCCGAGTCCGGTTCGGTGAAGAAGTGTTTGGAGGTGATGCATCGGTTCGAATTGAAGGGGCGCAAGATTGTTATTAAGGAAGATTTCGGAAATGCAAGGGATAAGTTTGGGAATTTGATTGGTACAAAACGAAATAGGGATCGAGATAATGATAGGGGGGACAGGTTTAGGGAAGAACGAAGGGGTGGTGGTGGAGGAGGAGGAGGTGGCGGCGGCGGCGGTGGCGGCTTCGATGGTGGACGTCAAGATGATAATAAATGGGGAAATACATATGGGTTAAGTCCACAATTTTTGGATGGTTTGGGTATTCATTCCCCATTGACTAATCGAATTTTTGTTGCTAATGTAAGTACACTTTGTTTAAAATTATATTTGGGGTAGTTCTTTTTTTTTGTGATCGTATTGTCCTAAATGTTTAAAATGGGATTTTATAATCAAAAAGTTTTTTTTCATTGTATGTAACATTATACAATTTCTTCAACAATTAATTCAGGAAATTAGCGGATCTTCGAATTTGTATAGAACGAAAATTAAATATTTTTAAGAGGTTGGATTAGTCTGCTCCTTATTTTTAATAACTAATTCGATTTGATTGTTTGAAACATGAAGTTTATACCGAGAATTTCATATAACTCGCAATATATGAATGCAGGAGCTTGCACTGTCTCACATAAAATGCAACATAGCTTAAGGGAGTAATCTCTTTTTTTCTATAAAATAAAGTGATATCTTTCGGAATTTTTGGCTGCCAAATTTATGTGCTCTTCCAATTTAATCTTTTGCCTAAGTTTATAACATAAATTGAAAAATCGCATATGGTGATTTACCGTTAGCAACACAATTAGCAGCGAAAATGTTTGGAGTCGATATAAGCTCCGCCCCATCTCTATGACGTCAAGGCTTAGGTTGTCTATTAGTGTTAAAATAAACTAAGTGTAAGTGACATTTCAAATGACCTTTTTTTGGCGGTTAAGCTCCGCCCATCTCTGTGACGTCAGACTTATGCAGTCTATTGCACATGGGGATTTTTCGTTAGCAACTAAGATGTTTGGAGTCGGTATAAGCTGCGCCCATCCCTGTGACGTCAAGGCTTAGGTTATCTATTCCATAATGATGCCATAATTTGGTTGTCGCTACGTCAAATCTTTTTAAATAAAAGTTTCAATATCTCGAAAACTATGCAGTTTAAAGCATTAAAACCTTATGGCATGTTGCAACACCTTGTCAAAAGGAATCCAAAAACCTTAAAATATACAGGATGTTCCGTTTAAAAAACACACTCACCATGTCGTAACTCAAACTGCCGTGATCATTTTTATTTCCACACCAAGATATGCGGAAAATAGTTTCAAGTAACTTTTATTTAAAACTTTTTTTAATATAAGTTTAAGTTTAGGCTGTAGAACTACTATTCCATACTTTTTGTACACCCTGTATATCTAACTATATTTTAAACGGCTTTTAAAGTTAATGAATGTCGCCATCGTTTTTAGGAACTTTCGTCGTGTTGCAGTATCAATCTGTGATATTGGTTGCATACTTTGTCGGGTACGATAATTAATTAACACACTGTATATACATGCGATTATCGTTTGAACTAGAATTAAGCTAATTATTGACAACATGGCGCTTAGTTATATTAAAATAACCGATTTTGCTCTTAAAATCGGTAAATTTATTGCAAAAAAATAAAACATATGTATATAAGGTATCAGTTTCAAACAATAGAAACATGCTTTCTGAACGTACAGTTAAAATTTCAAGTCGATTGATTGAGTAGTTATTTAGTCGTTAAAATCTTCTTTCTCCTGTTGATGCATTCTTTGTTGGGTACGAGCTATTATCGCTTGAAGGCTGCGTCGATGCTCCAAACGCTTTTCATCCCGGGAGTTGGCATAAATTTTAGTCTGCTCACCAATTTGAATTCCCATTGTTTTCATAACTTTTAAAACAGCCTTCATTAAAAATGCTGGCTGCTATATAAGCGGATATTTCAACTGTTTTTAAGCTGCAGTGTAGATGTTTGGGGGCTAATCGCCAAACAGTAGAATTGGAGCTTTCATTATTATTTTGAGTTTCACCCAAAGAAATTGTATATATAGAAGCAGTTGTAAACACTAAAACTTGAAGCCAACGCAACACGCGGTTTGTTTACTAAAAACCTTTGTCGAAACCGGTTGAAACAATGAACGTGCACAGATCGGACCAGCGGCCGATTATCGCCGAACATTCCCGAATATTATTGCCCATAGAATAAGGCATACACTAAAATAAATAAACCTATTTGCGAATCAATAAATGATTCGTTTTTCTTCATTTTTATTTATTTATATTTTCTTTGTAAATATTGTATGTAGAGTATACTAGTACTTTTAGTTAGATATAAAACTTATCAATCAAAATACTACATACATTCTTGTATCATTTACCAAGTATATTGTTTCTACGTCCTCTGATTAATTTATAAAATTACATTATATTTATTGTATTTAATACTTTCAAGTCTTATTAAAACTTGACAAAGATATAGAAAAAAATGTATTCTACAATTTATAAAAGTGTTACGACAATAATTTTTCAATTAGTAGTTAGTTTAACACTTAATTTTTAATTGTAATTTTATATAAGAAATTAGGATGCTCTTTGGATACGCCGCTGGATAAAGTCTGACCAATTTCATCTAAATCGTACACGCCACTGTCGCTAGGACCAAGGTCAATTTTGTTTCCAAACAAATGCTCTTGCGTTGGCTTCAAACCGGTATACGGGTGAACATAGACGATGCGGCTTCTATATATACAATTTCTTTGGTTTCACCACCCAAACATCTTTCTAACAATTCTTTTGATGACAAATCTTCATATATTGGCTTTATAGCGATTGCAACATCTAGATGAAGTGTCGGTTCGTGGTCGAATTCATCCAGTTTTCTCATGGCTTCAGCTTTACGCCATTTACACCAACTCTCTGGTCCGATTGGGCCGTACATATGCTGCATATTTTCTCCATACAGCATTATACATATCTTCAACAGAATTTGGATGTCTCCTTATAGCTAATTCATAGTAAATCGTTAGTTCTTTTATTAATCTGTCTGTTAACTTATTCTTTCCATCAAGTTTTTTTATGTTTTTTCAGGTTTATCAGTGATTTTTTTGTAATGTAAAGTTATCGCAATAAGGATTCATAGCCAACAAGGCTTTAAAAGTTGCTGTGTCGCCATCGCCAATATAATTTGTATGCCTCACTTCATACCACTCATCTTTGAAACATCTCTTTTATAGCATGCACCACCATCTCCAGCCGTTCTTTCATGATTGGCCGAACAATTCTCTTCATGTTCATCCATCCAAGTATTGTATTCCTCAGTCCCAGATCTTGATTTCCATAGTTGACAAGCCTGACAGTACGACGATTTTACTATAAGATCGATCACTTTTCCACTGTACTTTCCGATAAGAGTCGCCATTCCAAATAATGAATTAAAGCTCCTCTTCTTCCACGTTCCATCACCGGACACAGTACATAATTTCTGCTGCCGGATTGCCGTTTTCCGTATTTTTGATTTTCTCTTCCTCTACTGCCTTTTTCTTCAATGCATCAAATACTGCTTTTGATCCTACGTATATATTTTCTAAAGCAGCAAACACCACATTGACATTCCATCGATATTTTAAATCCTAATCCGCGAACACTGGATTCACCAAAACTGATTTGTTTTTCACATATTTTACAGATTACTAATTCCGAAATTGATGTAAACACAGTTAAAAATGCAATAACTCGGTAACCATGAGGTTCATTATAATTTACTTGCGTCACCAAACGTAGTTTCCGTCTCCTGCGAATGTCTATTCCCCACAAATTTTCTTCTTTTTTTTTTTTTGTCTATCCGCCGAAATAATACAGACAAGTTCAATCTTGTTCTTACAGCAGCCTTTAGTAATCAAACCGAACCTCGAATTGTGACAGTTGCGACCGTGTACCACAATTTCAAACAACATCGGTTTTTATGACAGTCATAAATAAAAGCCGGTCGGGCAAGGACAGGGTCGAATTTAAATTTGTTTAAACTAAAATAATTTTAAAACTATCGCCAAACCCGAATGTTTCTAGGTCTAGTGTTAGTTCAAACAAATGTGTAAACAATATGCAACATAGTGATATTTCATGCTAACTAGCGCTACCTACCAGCTGTCTTAAGATACGGCTAATGGAATGTTTCTAGGTCTAGTGCTAGTGTTAATCTAGTTTTATTTACACTGCGTAATGTCAAATTATATTGACATGTTGCATTTTATGTGGGACAAAGTAAATAGGTATGCCCTGGTTTCTATAGAATATATTTTTGTGTATTACATCTTAAGTAAAATAGAGTTTCCCTTTAATACTTTTTACTTCTTTTGCTCATAAAAATGATTACACTGTATACATAGGTAAAGTAAATAAATCTGTATTTTTTAGACAATAAAAAGTCTTATTTTAAAGCTGATATCATAGCTCATAATTGCAAAATGCTTTTGAGTTTAGGTTTGTACTCATAATGTACTTCAGCGCTTCGCCCGCAAGCGACTTCGGCAATGTTAGATGATATCGTCCTTTTTATTGCGCTGGATATACAATTATATCAACATAAAGCTGGTGTTAACTACCAGTTCTAGTAAAATTGTACAAAGCCCTCTGTAAGAACTCTAAAGAAATTTCATGTTTTCAAAAAAGAGAAATTTCTTTGGAATTGTCGTTGTTACAATATGCTACAATTAATTATAGAAGAAGTTTATCTAGGAGCATCATCCAACCTTCTAAAATATTTAGTTAAACCACATCACTATTAAAGTTACCTCTTTATTCTTCCTCTCTTATTGTTAATTTACTCTTCATTTCCTAAAACACGTAATGGAATCTACGAAATCTGGGTATTACTGTTACTTTGTTTCTGGTTACTGAATAATACAATTTGGAAATATGGGGTTTTAAGAGATTGGATTAGCTCCTTTTATACTTCTTGACTTACTGTTGAGGTTGTGTTCGTAACGATAAAATGTTTAGGTTTAAGAATATATTTTGAAAGAAAGTCGAGGATTAAAGAAGATTCTTCACAAACTCTAAATTAATCCAACCTCCTAAAATGTCCGCCGTGAAAAAGAAATCTTTTCATTTTTAAATTTGTTTCTCAGGCTCCTATATTTGTTGTGTATATTCTCAAACCAGTATCTAAGTAAAACGTTTGGACTTTAGAAGGTGGAGTTTGTTCAAAATTTTAACTAATTCATTTTTAGCGAGACGAAACAAATTCAACCTCCTAAAACCTTTAATAATAATTAAACCTTTATGTTACATAAAAAAGATTGAGTAGGTAGGGGTAGGTTACCTTCACTTTTCTCTTATTTTTATCTACTCCTTACAGTTGGACTACACGGTTGAAAAGAAGAAATTAAAAGAAGTTTTCCGTTTGGCGGGTAAGGTCCTATGGGTGGACATGCCCTTAGATAAAGATGGTCGTTGTCGTGGCTTCGCTGTTATTGAATATGACCACCCAGTTGAATCGGTTCAAGCGATTTCAATGTTCCACAATCACGAATTGTTTGGTCGTCCATTGACGGTCCGAATGGATCGCATTCCGGACAAAGAAAAACTTCCCGAAGGTCTTAAATCGATCGGTATGGGTTTGGGTGTGAACGGTCAAGCTTTGAAAGATGTTGCTCATAATTTGCCCTCTTCAAATTCGTCGAATAATAATCAATTGTCGAATTCTGGGCCTGGTATACTCGGTGCAGTTCCGAATTTGATGGGTATTAACGCCGGGGCTCCTCTAAATAATTTAAATAGCGTCGCTTCGGCTTTGGGGAATTTGGGGACAACGTCTGCGGCGGTTCTTCAAGCGGCCAATTTGGCTAATTTACCAAATAATCTCCTCGGAGGTGGTGATTTAAGCGGTATTGCGGCTAATTTGGTTTCTAACCCTTTAGTACAGAGCCAGTCGTTAAGTAACTTGAACGCTTCTAATTTGAGTCAAGCGGGAGGCTTTAACAGAAACGATTCGTTCACGTCCCAGTCCTTGGGGGGTTTTCAAGGCAGCGGAGGAGGTGGTGGCAATAATCAAATGAGCACATTTAATTCCGGAGGAGGTGGTGGAGGCGGCGGCGGAAATAGAAACTTCCAAAATTTTGATGGGTCGAAAAATTCCGGTTTTGGAGGAGGAGGAGGAGGCGGTGGTGGTGGAGGTTTTAATCGGGGGAATGACCGCGAAAATAGTGGCGGAGGAAGTGGAGGGTTTAACGCGGGGATGCGTAGTCAAAATCAACAGAGCAAAACTGGGTATTCAAATAAAATTCTTATCAGCAACGTAAGTTACATATTTTTAATAAGTTGGTCTTCGTTATAAAATCGTCAACGTTTTGGGTTCGTTTTCAATTTCCAGCTTCCGCACACCGCTGGGTATCAAATGTTAAGAGACAAATGTTGTGAGTTTGGCGAGGTCCAAAGGGTTGAGGATAAAGGAAACGGAAACGTTTTGGTCGGCTTTGCAAATGAGTGGGATGCAGAAAGAGCTATAAGTATCCTTAAGTAGATGTGGAGTAGTTTTTACTGATTTAAAATTTTGGGCTTTCATCGATTTCTTATTGTTGCAAAAAAGTTAATTTTGTTTTTCAGGTTATTTTTTTTCCTTAACGTTTTTTTAACAGAAAATATGGACAAGGCGAGAATTGATGGGAGAACTATCGACGTCCGCTTCTACTTTTAATCAACGCCGAAATTCCAACAAAAAAATTGTTTATTATGAGAAATAAATTAATCTTAGTTTTTAGTTTGTGACCGGATCCGTCGGTAAGAGACATTCTTAGTTCATCCACGATTAGTAAGCGTTTTTCAACAAACGACAAAGAGTTTCTTTAAATGTTTTGTGTCATAGTGTTTTCGTTTTGATGTTTATAATTTGTCTTTTCATATAAGTTTTAGTTTTATACTAAAATATTGCAAATAAATGGTACTTCTAATAAAAATGCAAGTTTAAGATATTGTTTAGTTTTTATTTCTTCTTCATAAATACATGTTGAAGCTAAAACTATGAAAAATGTGGATAAGTTTGGATTTGTATTAGGGAAAATAAAAGGATATAAATTTTACAATTAAAGTTATATTTTTGTGTAAATAAATTATGAAATCTAAAATAGCATAACATCGAATAGATTTTTATTCAATTTTTTTTGTTCTATCCTTGATCGATTTTAAAACATTTATTCCTGTAGAAAATCACCTTGGACTACGTAAAGAGAATTTAAAAATCGAGAAATGGGTTTGGTTACATGGGAGAAAAGTTTTGCAGCATGTTTCCTTAAAGTTCCTCTTTTTTCACACTATCCGTACTTAACCCCCCACTTCTTATTAGATTCTTCTATTTTGTCCATCGGCTTATTAATAGCAACTCTACCTGCAAGGCACTTTCAACTTTTCAGTTGAAAAAGATATGATGAGCTGTAACTAGCCAAATCTAATTCCTAAGTATTTTTCCAACATGTTAAACCCTTGGTGTTAGGTTGGATTGTTATTGATGGGATTCATATAATTTTGCGTTTTGGTTGCAAGACTTTAAAATCGGTATGACCTCCACGAAAGGATTAGCGCTACTATGGTACAACAAAGGTGAGTGTTCGGCTCATGTATTACCCAGTTTTTTTTTTTGGTAGGTGTACATAAGGACAAGTTGTTAGAAAGTACAAATTTTCATACCTGAATTATTACAGGGGTTGGATACCTTAATTGCGAGTGCTTCACTATGTCTAATGTAATAAATTTTATTACATAAGTTTTATATCTAAAGGATCTGAGGACAAACGTGGTGTTTTACACCACCATAGCTGATGGCATGTTAAATAAGCATCCTTCTTATTATCATCCTTAGCTTATAATCCAAATTCCATCCTTTTGATTATATCTAATTAATTGGCTGTAAATATCCTCAGTGATATATTGTTTTCTGCTATTAATCATGCTAATGGCGCTTTTGAAACGAGCAGAACCATTATGATGCATCGTATCTACAGCGGCCGTATTTCATAATTATTCCAGCCATCTTGCAACATCTAGACGATTGTTTGGTATTAACGCTGTTTTGAAAAATGTGGTTTGTTCCTGTTTTAGTTCAACCAAATCAAGTGTTTAAATTGCTTGGAAGCCCACATTCTGGTACCAACACGTTCCTCCATTATGCACAGCGCAGACTCTTCATCCACTGCTAATTCCTATCTATTTTTTTTCCACTGTCCACTACCATTGACAGCTTTCTTTAAGTGCACTTAATCAACTTAGATCTAGCATTATGTTCATGTCACAGCGGAAGTCACTGCCGTACAACTGCATTCCTACTTTATTCAATTTGGTAGTAACTTATTCAGAACATGTTTGATATACAAGTTAATGTGGTTGTAAAAGTATAAACAAGAATGAAGGTTTTTTCAACATTGCACAGCGACTGTGGGTATCCATTATGTACGTAATATAATTCACAATTGAGATGGATATAACAAATCCAACAAGAACAAAGCGGCGAATGCGAAATTTTTTTATTTATTTACAAATAAATTCGTATATCCGGGTGTCAATGTATGTTACTATTCGAATAACTATTTAACGTTGTTTTTGTTATGGATGAACGGCTTAAGTGTAGTAATTTGAAGAAAAATAGGTTAGATGACGAAGAAACACTCTCAACAAGCAATGACGGAAATGTTAATGTAAATTCTCAACTACATTGTTGTAGACTTGAATTCAACTTAGATTGTTATTAGTTTCGACTTGCCGTTGTGAATACATAAAAAGTAAACTTAATACGGATACAAATGTCGAAAATTTAACTTGATTTTGACGAAGTTGTTTTGAAAGCGTCATCGGAAAACCTTCAAATTTGAGATACATGAGCCTCATTAAGATTACACGAAATGTTATTAAAGAAATAATTTTCTTTTTGTCTGATTATGTTTCATTTTTTGTTTGAATGCTATAAAAACAGCTTGATGTGCTTACATAGAGCAGTGTTTCTCAACGTTTTTTGTGCCAGGCCCCCCACATACAGGATGTTTCTGTAAGTCGTGGCATAATTTTAATCACAATTACTAGAGTCAAAATGATGACGATTCGTGTAGAAATTTTTAGTCTAAACTCATATTATAGTTATGAAATAAAGTTAAGAAATTTTTAAACATTTTCTTAAATATTTTCAATATGGTTTGTCTTAGAAAGACTAAATTTGGCAAACAGTACAATTTTATCATGATAAATTCTATAAGATCACTTTTGAAAATACAGTGTGTCCATAAAGTAACGGATATAGGCGATAAAATCATAATAAACGGTTTATGGAAAAATTGCTGAAACGGGTCTAAAGATTTAAATTTTTTTGGTGTAGATTTTAAATTTTTGGCGTCATCGATATTTTTTTTAAATGGCAATCCCCATTTTTATTTCGGAATATGAAAGAGGATTTTTTCTGAATACAGTCAATATTAATATTGGTTAGATAAGAAAATTTTCAAATTTGTATAATGATGAAAATAGCAGTAGCCATGAGTAACTATGGTAACCAATTCTAAACAATTCCCTGAGTGTCAAAAACTGATTTAGTAAAGCTTCTTGAAGTGTGGTGGCGCGCCATCTTGTTGGAATTGAGTTGTGTGAACATTATCGGGATGGAAGGAATGACATCGCTTTGAAAAAATTTAAACATCTCTTTCCACTTAAGGTTTCCTCAAATCTTTTGCGGATATTGGGTGTGCAACTTTCATGGCTAATTTGGATTTTGGGTAGCGCAATACCGACAACTTTGTCTATTTGCTTGTCCACTCAATGTAAATGTCCCTTCGTCGAAAAAATTATGTTTTTGACAAAGTCTTCGTCATCGTTATAAAAACTACGATTCATTGCTCGTGAATCAGGTTTACTTTATAGGAATGATATTTTGAGGGTTTTAAAATTTTATGAACCGTTGATTTACTAATGTCGAAATTAGACCCAATACTCCTTACAGTAACATGAGGGTTTTCTTGCCCAGCCAAAACCACGATTTGTTGAACTTCCCTTGCAACATATAGTAGGCCAGACTTCGAGAGATTGCCATGCTGTTTAAATTTAGTCACAGCTAGGCTCACCATATTTTGACTAATGAGTTGGTGATCAGGATATGTTGTATTAAAGAGGTCAACTACTTACTAAATCAGTTTTTGACACTTAGGAAATTGTTTAAAATAATTGGTTACCATAGTTAGTCATGGCTACTGCTATTTTCGTAGTTAAACTTTAAAGTAATTTTTCTCGAAAATTTTCTTATGCAAGCAATATTAATATTGACTGTATTAGATTCAGAAAAAAATCTTCTTTCATATTCCCTACTAAACATGGGGGATTGCCATTTGAAAAAATTCTGATGACGTCATAACTCGCTTAAAAATGGCGGAAGAAATTTAAAATCTGCACCAAACAATTGCAAAAAAATTAAATCTTTAGACCTATTTCAGGGATTTTTCCATAAACCGTTTATAATGATTTTATCGCCTATATCCGTTACTTCACAGACACACTGTATGTAACCACGGGTTCAATTTTATACAGCCTGTTTACAAAGGTTATTTGGTTATTTCCTTAAAACTTTATTGTTATGTCATAAACCCTTAAATTTTACAACTGAATCTTAAAGCCTATTTCATTTAAAATTATTTTCACTCTTAGAAATTTTTGTTTAGAGGCATCGTTTTCGGGTTATTCGCAAAAAGATACAATTTCGATTATGAAATGTTTTCATTAATCGTAGGTGTGTAATCGTGGCTTGTCTTAGAACCATATTGAAAATATTTAAGAAAATTTTTCAAATTTTTTTAACTTTAAAGGTCCATATCTTAAGCATTTATGGATTTCGACCAAAAATTTTTACACGTCATCATTTTAACTCTAGTATTTGTGATTCAAATTATGCCACTATTTACAGAAACATCCTGTATACATAATTTTTAATATTCAAAAATTGAATTTTTTTACTAAAGAAACTTAATGAGTTTTATGAAAATATCACAAGAAAATTTTCAAAACATAATTGAGAACTGAAATTAAAGTACAAAATAATTTTAATGATAGGTTTTTATATTCCTTTTTCAGATTTAGCGAAATCCTTGCGTTTGATGTTTACTGCAAAGACATTTTATGTCGGTTCCAATTTAATTTATTTCAGTCTCAACTCGCCTCGTTTTGTTATATCCAACGTTTTAGCAACAGATCGTTTTTGGCACTAAATCCGCATTCAACTAAATATGAAGATGGAAACGGCAACAATAGTTCTCTTGCGCATTTAATTGCATTTGGATATTTAATTTCGGTTTCTTCACAAAGCCATATCGCTCCTTTTATATCAAATAAAGGTTTATTAGACTCATCATTTCTGCGAGTTCTTCTTAATGCTGCATATTTGAAATGTCAGACAAATCTACCAACATTGGTTGCATCATCCAGATTTGAAAATGAATTGATTTTAAATCTGTCGATAAAATATTCAGATGATCAACAATAACATGTATGCGGTATCAGTCGCTTTGCATTTTTTGAGCAAATGAAAATTTTCAAAATTTTTGTTGTAAGTTTGTGTCTGATATAATTCAACAAATGTAATGAAACCAAATATCTTGGCCTTTGCGTCGTCAAGAGTTTTATATGTTGTTTGGAGTTGCTTATTTAAAACATTTCATGTTTCAAAGATATAGGCTAGGTAACTAACAAATGCCTTACCCATCGAACCTTACCAACCGTTAACAGATTTTTCATTGCAGGTTTGTCGCTTAAAAATTCACTAAGGGTATCAAACGATTCCATAAATCTCTTCAAGCAAATTATAAGTCTCATATAGTCTTCATTTTGTTCTGCACAAAATAACTTGAAGAGATCTTCACGTTTAGTAACGATTTTATAACTGAATTTAATATTCCATTTTTTTTAAATGGAAATGCTTTTAGCTACCAACTTTGCTCTATTAATAACACAATGAACAAAAAGTTTTTCTGGATTTCCATCAATTTTAGACAACCACTTTTCTTCCCCATCTAATGGGTTACAGTAGCATCAGTTGGCTACTTTGAAGTGGTTAAACATGCAGAGAAGAAGATCGGTACACACCTTCTATACTATAAAATAACGACCTTACAAAAACCTCCGTATCTGTCAAAAAAGTATGTTTTCATGCGGGCATGCACTCGGTCAATGTTAGATTAAGGGGTAGATTATTCCCACCAATATTTTATACCATAAGTTTTAAAAGATGTTTTTCACACCAGTTATGCAAAGTAATAAATGAACTTCCTCCTTGTTGTGAGTTAGCTGAGTGTGCGTCTTTAGCCATTTTCAGAAGCTGATTTTTTGGGCAGCACTTTTTTTTTTCTTTGGAGAACCCTTTCGAACACGTTTATTGGAGATTCCGAGGAAACTGTACTTGTAAGATTCGTGGGCTTCTTTTGATTTGATTTTTTTTACCGCGTTAGTAATTAGCTTCTGTTTTTCACTTTTGTTCTATGGTGAGGTGGAAGATCAGTACATATTGAACCTCATCATAAATTTGATCATCATAGTTATTTATTTTAGGTATTTGGTTGTTACATTTGTAATTTTTTTTTTTTTTTTTGGTGATCAATAAACCATCATTATTATCAAAGAAATTGTATATACCATATACAATATGGTATATACAATATATTGTTCTACCATTGGTATAGAAGCAGTTGTAAACACTAAAACTTGAAGCCACGCAACACGCGGTTTGTTTACTAAAGGTGCATACACATCAAGCGAACGAATAGCGAACTCCGAACAACGAACGTTTGTTGTTCGTTTGTTCAACATTTGGAAGTTTGTACACACTAAGCACACGAATAACAAGTCCGTCCACGCCAAAAACCGATTTTCTTTGATGTACCGCTTTCGGAGCGAACGCGTGCGAAGGCGAACCAAACGCTTGATTTGCCTGTGTATTAACGAACACATTGGTGGAATTCGCTTTCGGTGTTCGGCATTCGTTCGCTTGATGTGTATACACCTTTACAACCTTTGTCGAAACTAGTTGAAGCAATGAACGTGCACAGATCGGACCAGCGGCCGATTATCGCCGAACATTCCCGAATATTATTGCCTCTAGAATAAGGCTAAGGCTACACTAAAATAAACAAACCTATTTACGAATCAATAAATGATTCGTTTTTCTTCATTTTTATTTATTTATATGTTTTTTCCCGATTTAGCGATGAGTAATGAAATTTGATAACTATAGTCTCAAGAGTACGATGCACAACAATGAGATCTTTTATGAAGAAAAGAAAAAAATAGCATTTAGTAACACTTTTTATTAAACTGTCTAATAAAAATGTGGTTAATTATTAACCCCTTAATAAACGAATTGTGCCCCCCTGTGGGGCGTGGACCCCACGTTGGGATACACTGCTCTAGAGTGTTAGTACACAAATTTATTAAAAAAATTTAATGATCAAAGCTAAATTTGATGAGGAGAGGAACAACTAATGTTATATTGGTTGCATAAATTCTGGTTATCTAATTTAGCCGTCTTGAGAGTTCTAGTAGTGGCGTTAGTGAGAGTCTTAGTTGTTAATCAGCGTTAGGTTGTTGTATATTTTTCTTGAACTAAAAGTAGAACCAACACTAGACCTAGAACTAGAATCATTCAGGTTTAGCCGTACCTCTCTTAAGACGGCTAAACCCGAGTATTTCTAGGTCTAATGTTAGTTATAGTGATAGTGTTAAGTAGAATTGGTTAGCACTAGATAACATCGTCGGCATACAAGAAAGTAACATATCTCAAAAATTGATATTTTGTAGGAGAACGGTTTGAAAGTTTATTGCTCACGTGTATGTAAAAAAAAACCAAAATGTATGCGAATTTTTCCAAGTATCTTTGTTTGTAACGATTTCATAATATAATGGGCTACGAAAAAAATTATCTAGACAGAGTTTATAAAGCCGCCCTTAATATTGAACCCTTATTTGAATTGTGACACTGTTCTTGTAAAATGTGGTTGAAGTTAAAAGACAAAATTATAGCATAAATCAAATAAAAACTATATAACATTTTGTTTTATAACTTAATTTTTATTATTTTTTTGGTAGTTAAATTACATACCTTAGAAACGTACAAAAATAAACCATTATCTTCTTAAATTACAAATTTTTAAAATAATTAAAGTAATACTGCGGAATAACAGATTTGTTCTGAGAAAACAAACTTAATATACTTGTCTTTTCTTTTTTTTTTACTTAATCCAGGTTTGGTGTTATACAATCTCTTCAATTCTACGACAGTGTCACTAACGGTATTTTCTGATCTTCTGTTACTTGAGTTTCTTGGTTGCTTTAAATGAATGATATGAAATTGCTCTTTACCATAAGACGTTTTGTAGAATAGTTTATCTGGTTGTCCTTTTTCAGCTTTAATGATTTTAATGTTAGATACCTTAACTGACTCATTGTCGATGTTTTTTGTACAATTGATTCGAATGGTAGATGGAGGATCCTTTATATTGAGAAAATTCTCATGACTTAATTCATGAACTTTACTTAATTGAATTTACTTATGAATTAAGGTTACGTAATGTTGCGGAACAAAAATTGGTCCTGATTTTAAGGCACGTTTTATTTGACACTCAATAACAGAGTGAACGCTATCACCCTCGTTCTGCGTAAGCCCTTTTATTAAAAAATTGTGCGCTATGGAATTTATATGATCGTATTTTCTAACAGCATAAAGATACATTGCAAACAAAAACTGATTTTTTTGCTGACCAGAACAATTATCCGAATAAAATATCACTTCCAACTTCTTGGTATTAGCTCTATCTTTTAGAGATTCCAAATAATTCAAAACACATGTTCCGATTTACTGGGTGACCCATTTTGAGAGGCCACAACCAGCAGGAGGACGCCTCTGTTTTAATGGACAACACATATCGTAAAAATACATGAACATTTCTGAAAACTCACGATACAGATCGTTAACATCGGGGTCACTGGATGACAATGAGTTCCAGTCTATCACATTAATTTTAGATCTAAGTAAAGCCAAGTGTTAGTTCTACATAGTAACGGTGTTAGTGTAAAACTAGAACTAACACTAGACCTAGAATTAGAATCATTCGGGTTTAGCCGTACGTCTCTTAAGACGACTAAATCCGAATGATTCTAGTTTTTGGTATAGTGTTAGTTCTACATAGTAATAGTGCTAGTATAAAACTAGAACTAACACTAGATCTAGAAGTAGAAAGCTGCGGGTTTAAACCCGAAACTTTCTAGTTCTAGGTATAGTGTTAATTCTAGTTTTAATTCTTATTTAGTGCTTGATATATATTTTTATTGAACTAAAAGTAGAACTAACACTATTCCTAAAACTAGAAACATTTAGGTTTAGCCGTCTTATGAGACGGACGGCTAAACCACAATGTTTATAGTTCTAGATCTGGTGTTAGTTCTAGTGACAGTGTTAAGTAGTGTTGGTTAGCACTAGATATCACTATGTTGCATATTTTTATTGAACTAATACTAGAACTAGAAAGTTTCGGATTTAGCAGTTGAATTTTTCCCGAAAGAAAATTATAATTGATTTGGCAAATTAAATGATAATCACACAACTTTTTAATAATTTATATTGTTATCTAATATTGCTAAATAATGAGTAGGTTAAAAAGAAAAAACGATTTTAGTCGATACTTTCAGGTTTTTATTTATTCTTCTTCAGTACTTCTTAAAACAAAAACGACGAAGAAAAAATTGGGTAATATACGGACTATCTTTTTTTTTTTATTATCTAACACAATGTGGCTAATATCAATGGTTTATTTTTAATTTTATAATAATTATTATTTTTTTAATTTTAAATCGGTATCACAATCATTTTTCGTTCGATTCTTCGCTTCGTTTCGGCTCTTGTTCTTCGATTGTCCCTCGAAAAAGAAAAAAAAACATTCCACTCCTTTCGCAACATTTCTTTTAAAGACGCTACTCTATTCTTTACACATTATAATATATTCTTTAGATAAAAATCTAATTTTTGATAAAACTCTATAGGTTGTTTTCTGTGGAAATCTAGGTTTTTTTCTTTCTAAATAGAAAGGAGCATGCATTTTTTTAAATTTATAATCTTCGAACACGACCGAAAAGAATGAAAAGAAAGACACTAATAGTAAAAAGAAAACCTTAGGGTTATTACACACTTTCGACCGGATCATGGGCGAGAAGTCGATAGTGCGTAGTACCCCTTAAAGAAGACACGAAGTAAACAAACGTTTTTTTTTTCTTCTTGAATTTAATTTAAAACCTCACTCACAACTCTGTTATTATTATTTTTTTTTGTAATCTATCTCCCTCTTATTCCGCCACACAATCACGCATAATTCGAAGACACAACAAAAAACTTGTTAAAAAAAAATTAAATAAATACAAATAAAACTCAGTGGTTGGCGATGAACGCCTCAAGTTGTTGGGGTACAAGTCCCCGATAAGGTATACGAAATTGTTTAACGATACGCGCAGCAGCACACGTCAGTCTCGTGTATTTAGCAGTATTAGCCAGTTCGTGCACTTCCTGTCCTTTTAATAAACTGGCAAATGTCTCACCATTATTATTCACTAAATCCATATGAGCGCCACCGTCTAAAAGCGTTTTAGCAAGTCCTAACGGACATGGTCTCGCCATTGCTGCTAGATGTAAAGGTGTGTTGCCTTCTTCGTCTTTAGCATTTGGATCAGCGCCGACTTTTAAAAGGACTTCCGCTAAGTGTGGTGACGGAAATTGGCAGGCTGGATAACGACCGACGAGGGCTGCGTCTCGGCAACAAGCTAAATGTAAAGTTGTTCGACCTAATTTTCCCTTAATTTTTAATTTAACCAAATCGTATATGGCTCGATGAATTTTTTCAGATATCATTATTTTATCACTTTCAATTTTTTGATTTTGTAACAAACGTGTGAGTAAACAAGCTAGATATAGTGTGATAACTAAAACTCTGGTTAAATAGGTCGTATCACGAAGGACATTCGGCATCTTTTCTAACATCTTGCTACCTTGTTCGACTTCCATAATGGCTTTATAAAACACTCTTAAGATTTCATTATAATCAACTGGAGGGACTATTCTTCCCCGTGATGTTGATTTACCTTCTTCGCCCATCATAAACGAAAACAATTCGGTGAAACTAAATAAACTGCTTTGTGTCATTGGATTTAAACTTTCTAACATCGCTTGTTGCATATCTAAAGCGTAATTCCACAATTCTATACAACGGTTAAATTTTCCCGCATCAGCGTAAACCGCTCCTCTGTATCTGATGAAATAACTTGTATCCGGATGAGCTGGACCGAGAATTCTCTCACGGATCACCAACGCCTGCATTCTCATTTCATCCGGGTCGGCCATTAATTCATCTAAACCTTCGATGTCCGCTATTTCTTGACAATAATCGTAAGCGGGCACTTTTTCAGCTAATTTTTTTAAGATTACGGGGCCATCACCGAAATATCTTTCATGCATCGCTTGTTTCCAATATTCCAATGCTGTAATCATGTCGCGTTTTTTATCTACGTAGGTTGCACCGAGAAGTTCTAAGGCGTCTATTTTTTCTTTTCGGGATACTAAGTGTGGTAATTTTATAAGGTACTCTACTATGTGGTTGTGGCCGGTTACACCCGCTGCTAACAATGGAGTCATACCTATAAAGAAAAATAAATTCAATTAAATGTTTATAAAAACCAATCAGATTTTTTACAATTTTTTTTTGTTATTATTTAATTCTATTTAATTTTGTAGAGTTGAAGAATAATGTGTGTTCAAGAGATCCAAGAGAAATGATTTTATACTTCATTGGCAAAGAGGATGGAATTTTTTTGGAGTGAGGAATTTGGATTTATGTTGTTTCCTGTTGATGTAACCATGGATGTTTAGCTGTTTGAAGCTGAATAAGGATTAAAGAAAATCCAAAGAAATTATCGGATTAATAATAACAAAGGTAAGAATATTAAATAATCTTCAAATTCGTTCATCGAACTATTTCGTTTCTGTTGGATTATATTAATGGTTCATCTCATTTTAATATGATTTATATTGTTAATTAGGTTAATAGTCGGGTTTATATGTCAATAGTTGTATTTAGGTTTATTTTTGCGCCTTTTCTTACACAATGATTGCAATTTCAGGTTTAGCCAGTTATGTTAGGATAATTTCCAGATCTGAGGTTTGTGCAAAACAAATAGATATATTATAGCAATTCGACGTTATAACTCTAAATAAAATTTCGCTGCAAATTGACGTTTGTAATTTTCACAATTTCATATTCCTTAAATTTCTCCACTCAAGGCACTCCTTATTTATTTCCTTATTGTTGGGCAACTAATCTTCTTTAGAGTTATCACAACCTCATTAATTTTTAGTAATTTTGATTCCATCAACTTAGACTTTCTTTTCCTTGCCTCACTCCGCATCCAACATTTTAGGGATAACACCTATTTTTTTTTTAAAGCTTGTTTAAAAATTATACCATCTTAAATAAGGTAGTAAAGATACTACCTCTGCCAAAATTTAATGGTAAGTACATTTTTTTTTAATTTTCATTTTATTACTGGAATCTATCGCATACAACAACAATAAGCAGTATGTTTAACAATACAAAAAAATAGTAATAACACAGTAGGAACCCGCTCAATAGACTGCTTAAGTCTGACGTCACAGAGATGGGCGGAGCTTATACTAACTCCAAACAATTTTGTTGCTAACGATAAATCACCAAAAAATGTCATTTGAAATGTCATCACTTAGTTTATTTTATTTTAACACTAATGAAAAATTGTATATGGTGATTTACCGTTAGCAACGAAAATGTTTGGAGTCGGTATAAGCTCCGCCCATCTCTATGACGTCAAGGCTTAGGTTGTCTATGGTAGGTCCAAAAGAAAACCATATTAATGCATGGTTATGACAAACCATAACATTTTTGTATAGTTAGTACTTCCTCCGCCCAGAAATAAGTGTCCGATTCGATTTTTTTTCAAAAATTAAGAAAAGGCTGCCTTGCTTTTAAACGTCAATTGTCATTTCTGAAAACACTTATTAAAGGTTAAGCTTTTCACTGCCCTTAAAAAGTTTTGTCATTTTTTCCACAATATAAGTTTTTAATCAAAAAAACGCGACTTTTCAAGACCTCACATAAAGTTCCGGTTTAAGAAAATAATGGGAGAGAAGGAAAACATTTTGACAAGTTGGTTGTAAAAGTCCAAACTCAAGGCAAGCTGTTTATCATGCGTTACTGGAATAGAGTAAGAATAGCTAACTGAAACAAGGCTCAATTAAGCTGACAGCGAACAAATGTAACATTTCCGTAAAAACTGTAAGCCGAATTTGGGATCAAGTATGAAAATCGTTAGCCGATGGTGCTAAAGTAGCAACCGAGAAATATTGAGACTTCTAGTTACTAGAGAGGAGTATAAGAACATGATTATTGGAAAATTGTTGCCCGTAATTTAAGCAAAATATCCAAGATCCGGTCGTCGCCAAACAATTTGGATCCAGCAAGACAACGCTAAATCACACGTTCTTCCTGGTGACAATGAGTTTAATGAAGCTTCAAATAGTCCCGATACAAACGTCTTAGATTTAAGCTTTTTTAAGGCTTACATTAATTCTTGCTGTTGAAAAAGCCTTTTTCGAATTGAGTGGCACCAACAGTGTATGGTAGAAACCATGAAGGCAATAATTACAAAGCGCGACATATGAATAAAGATCATTTACATAGGTAGGCTTCCAGTTTCTATAAATTTTGATTTTAGGCTTTATCAACATGTGAAAGACATCATCAATTCAGTTTAAATACTTAAATGTCCGTTAAAAATTTTCTTAGAAACGATATTTATTTTGTAGTTATTAAGCTTCAATAAATTAATTTTTAAGTAAATCGGACACTTATTTTTGGACAATAAAATCGATATCGGACACTTATTTCTGGATGGAGGGAGTATAATAAATGAAAGATAGGTACGTTCTTTATTCCGACATGGATAGTTCTGGTAGACCCTTTCGCTTTAATCTTTTAATAGTTGCAACAGATTTTTTGCAAGTCGGTTTGGATGAATTTGCAGCCTTTGCAGGTACTTAGAACTTTGCTGGGCGATTATTTCTTTTACAGTAAACATAATGAGGTCTTAATGTAAGATGTAATTAAGTACCAACCAAGATGCGTTACATATTTGTCAAAGGACTTTAGACTGATATCGCTGCAGCTGTAAAATGTTTGATTCGCTAGCGGTGCCCCGTAATTGAATACTGTATTTCCATACAGGTTTCAGTATGGCAGTATACAGGATGGTTCAGTTTTTAATCGGCAAACTTTACTAGGACGTATATAGTACTTGCCAACTCTTTTGTTTTCGAGCTATGAGCGATCAAAGTTGAGCCAATTATTTAAATGTTGTTTTGTATTTCGGCTGTAAGTAAACCGTCGAATTTGAAACTTTGTTCGTATTTGCTACTGGTTAAGACCTTATTTTCAAGCATAGTTTAAACTTCCCTAACACCCTCTAAGGACATGAAATTCACCACTCCCTTGATTTTCTTTATAAGAACTTTTTAACGCTATGGAATATTAACATAAAAAAATATGGGTTGTAAAGCTCATTCTTTAGTGGTACTTTTTTATAAAATAAGGTATTATTTTGGCAAGTACTACGTCCTAGTAAAGTTCCCTGGTTAAAAACTGAACCATCATGTATATAAGAAACTTATTGTCTAGGCTGAGTTGTGGGTTTCTATTCATAAACCAATGAATTTTCCTGTATAACAGTACTAGTTGAAGCCGTTCGGTCCAAATATGTTTTTTTCAGGTTAGGTGATGATCCAGGTAAATTCGAATAGGTAATGGACCATTATTTAATGTAACAGTAGGACAGATTCTCTTTTTTACAGTGAATGTGATATGAGTGGACTTAATCAAATTTATTTTTAGTCGCCACTATTCAAGCATCAATAAGTGATATTATAGGTTTTGGGATGCCATTACAGTGTCGTCTGCGTATGTAGTAATCATAGTGTTGTTTATCGTAGGCATGTCGGCTGTGTATAGAAGATATAGGGTAGGCCCCAAAATACTATCTTGAGGAACTCTAGCATGTATCGGTAGCAGCGGCGAATATGCGTCAATTTGTTTAACGAAAAAGTATCTCTCTGTGAGATATGATTCCAATAGTGTACATACTAGATAAGGTAGATAGGTTTTAAGTTTGGACATAAAACCGTTATGCCATGCTCTGTCCAAAGCATGTGACACGCCTAAAAAAGCTGGTGTACAATATTTTTTGGCCTCTAGGACATCTTTAGCTGATCTCACTACTCTGTGCACTTGTTCTATAGTACCATGCTGTTTTCTAAACCCAAACTGATACTTAGGAATTACCTTTTTGTTTACTATGATGCTCTGAGGTTTTTGAACACTTTTGAAAGCAATGGAAGTAAACTTATTGGGCGGTAGGAAGTCACACGTCTCTCGTAATTTTATTCGGTTTCAGCACCATTGTTATCTGAGACACCTTTCATTGTATCGGGAATGATCCTAGTCTTGAGTAGCCCATGCGCAAGAATATGTTTAAGAACCAATCCGATTATAAGATCGTAACCGGGCGATTTCTTAACTTTTAGGGAGTTTTAAGCTCAGATAATTTAAATTTTTTCATTTATTTATTATTTTTCATTTTTATCGGTGGGCCCGTTACAAAATAGGCGCCCAGTGAAGTTTCATTTAGTTCTCTATGCTGGGGTAATTCCGGGTGAGGTTGAAAGACGTTACGCAGGTGATCCGCAAAGGTATTTGCCCACTTTTTTTAATGGGCGTATTAACAATTTGTTGGCATTTAATTTTATTTGTTAGCTTCCATATTGAGGTAATTCCGTTTCTTATCAGAGAGATTACTAAGAAAATATATAATGTTTTCATTTTTGAAACATTTTAGAGCTTCTTGCAACAGACGAGTAGCCTATTCAGTTTTGTTTTAGTATCAGGCAATCGAGTTGGCTGCCAGGCGAGGGTAATGAATTATTTTATTATGATGCGTTGGTTGAGAAGTAGATGTGAAATCATTTATCCGTTTTTTCGATGTCCGTTTCATTTTTGAGACGAATATTCTAGTTTACTGTGTTAACAATCGTATCCTGGAAGGTAGCCCAATTAGTCATTTTATTTGTTAAGTTAATTGACTTGGATACGCGGTGTATCTTAATGTCTACCTCGACAATGAATGGTGAATGAGTGGTCGGATGAAAGGTCAAAACACGGGTATATTCTCAAGTAATTTGTAGAAATCCTCTTAGGCCCACTTTTACCACCTCTTGATAAATTTATCCGATTGATAAATTGGCGCTCTTAGCCAATGAGAGCGCTTAAAACCGCTGTAACCATGGTAATTATCTATCGGTTAAATTTATCAAGAGGTGGTAAAAGTCCCTTAATTACACAGAAGTCAATGTTGTACATGAATTTTATAATATAACAGTTAAGCCCTCGCGTTAACTTTATTAATATTCTATACCGAGCGTTTCATACACAGCGTTCAACAATAATTGTAACGCGTTTGAATTTGGCGCGCTTGCTTAGTAACTTTTGACAAACAACGTTGGTACCGGCTGGTGTTTTAACGTATTGCATCATATTTTTAACAATCAGTGGCACGTTTTAATTGCTTTCGAGTTAACAAGTTTCAACATTTATTATGACAAAATGTGAACACATTTTTAAATTTTATTAATAAAATTACACATTGACTAATTTTAAAGACAAATTTCTTAACCTCATAAATTTTTTAATACCTTCGGAATTTTTCCTAAGATACGCCTATGCTTATTAGTTTTCCCATACCAACCTTAAAAATTAAATGAAAAAGCGGGAAATTCAAATACCTTACAATCACGATTAAACCCGAATGATTCTAGTTCTAGGTTTATTGTCAGTTCTAGTTTTACACTATCACTGTTACTATGTACAACTAACACTATACTTAGAACTAGAAACCGTCTTTAGAGACGTTGGGCTAAACCCGAATGATTCTAGTTCTAGGTATAGTGTTAGTTTTACACTTGCGCTGCCACTAGAACTAACACTAGACCTAGAACTAGAAACATTCGGATTTAGTCCGTACGTCTCATAAGACGGCTAAAGCCGAATGATTCTAGATCTTGATCTAGCACTGTATAACAATTGAAACTAGAACTAACACTAGACCTAGAACTAGAAACATTCGGGTTTAGCCGTCTTTAGAGACGTGCGGCTAAACCCAAATGATTCTAGTTCTAGGTATAGTGTCCGTTCTACATAGTAACACAGTGCAAGTGTAAAACTAGAATTAACACTAGACCTAGATCTGGAAACATTCGGGTTTAGCCGTGCGTCTGAAGACTTTCTAGAAACTTTCTTTAGGGCCCGAAACTTTCTAGTTCTAGGTCTAGTGTTAGTTCTAGTTTTAGTTCAATAAAAATATGCAACCTAGTGATATTTTATACTAAGTAGCGCTACCTACCATCTACCAGGCGTCGTAAGAGAGGTACAGCTAAACGAAATGTTTCTAGTTCTAGGTCTAGTATTAGTTCTAGTTTTATTTGTTATTCAGCGCTAGATTGTTGTACATTTTTATTGAGCTATAACGGACAGTGCGTTTCCCGTATTGATCCGTTATATCGAGGTTTTAGTGTAATGTCAAATTATATTGATATGTTGCATTTTATGTGGAACAAAATAAGTTAGTACACCCTGGTTTCTATGGAAATATAGTTTTGTATATTGCATGTTAAGTGAAATTCACGGTATTTCTAAACGACGTGGTATTAAGCTAACGAACCATCTAAACAGGTATCTTAGTGCTTATTTATTGTTTTAATCATACAAAAATGGCAATTTCCTGAAGATGGAGTTGCTTCGAAATCAGTATGTATAACTTATTAGAGTCGGAAAATAATTTTTTACTCACCATAAGAGTCTACGTCCATCGTTGCGCCATGCTCAATCAACAATTTCAAAATTTCTAAACTACCCGATTCGGCGCAATCGTGCAAAGCTGTATTTCCTTTTACACTCTTCCTATTTACACTGGCGCTAAATGATAAAAGATATTTAGCGATGCGAATGTGACCTTTATAACACGCTATCATCAAACAGGTATGTCCATGTCTATTAGCCAATTCGATATCTGCAAAAATGGAAAATAAAGTACTTAATTAATTAATTTTATTTGAATTTACCTGCTCCATGCGTCACTAAGTACTTGACGATTTCTAGGTGTCCGTCAAAACAGGCTGCTCTAAGCGGTGTAGAATTGGTTCTTGTTGTACTATTAACTTTCGCCCCGTGGGACAATAATAACTGGACGATGTCCAAATGTCCCGCGGCTGCCGCGCACCATAAAGGTGGAGCTCCTTCGATAGTTTCCCCATCAAAAATCACTTTAAAAATAACATAATTAATTACATCAAAATGAATCTTTAAAAAAACGATTAGGTAACTAACATAAATGTCAAGGTTTTGGTCAAAGTTCCAAACAAAGAAACGTTTTTGAAAAAACTTTTGTTTTCAAGGTTATTTTTTACCCAAAAATAAAATGATTTTTAATTACCTGATCCTGGTTGTTCGATATCAGCGTGACATTTTTCTATGAGGTATTCGACTACATCGTAATGCCCATTTTTGGATGCTATTACAAGAGGTGTGGTTCCGGAAGTTCTAGCAGCGACCAACATAGAAATTTCGTCTTTACATAGAATCCCGTGCAAATATATCTGTAATAAAGCAATAATAAACTTTAAATTTATTTTCATAGAAATTAAATTGGTTTCAATGGAAATGAAAACACACGTTTTGTCTATAAACGTTAGAGAAAAGGTATAAAATGGTTAAATCTAGAAAAGGAAAATAAACAATTAAGATTTATTTCCAATAACATAGGAATAATAAATGATAAAATCAACGAACTTTAAAATGAAATATCTTAATAACATTTTAATAACACTTTCGAGAAGAACCGGTAAATAATTTAGGTTTTGAAGACCTTGACTGGTATTCAACAGGGTCGTTATTAGAAAGTTTTTTAGGTCCAGTTTTGTATGATAATCACGTATCAAAACTTAATTATTGAAACAACAAAAAATAAATAAAATAAATGGATAATAATTAATCAAATATCGTATATTTTTTTTATAAGCAGGAGGTCTTTAGCGTTATTGAAATAAAAAACTAGTAAACAACTGACCTTATTTGATGATATATCAATTGAAAATGATAACCGACTTTCCTGACAAACCGTTTTATACAGTATTTCCACATTTTTTTTGAATTAATGAGCTCTAAATCTAAATTTACTCGAAACAATAGCGGTTGTTGCATTTGCATTCGAATACAAAAGCAATTTTACCTACTTTTTATACCGAGTTCTAAAACGGTTATAAAAAGTATAGTTTTTACGATATATAACAAAATTGGAAGAAAAAATAAATATTGTTAAAAAAAAATTATTTTTAAATAAACACACTCGAGTAATAATCAAAATGTTTATTTTTGAAAGTAATGCTTTTGCTTTTAAACGTAAAATTAGAACAATTTTGGTAGCCAACTGGTTTCATATCTATAAATTAGTTTTATTTAATCGTTATTCACTTCATAAGAGAGGCCATGAGCCAACCAGATGTTTGCACACTTTGTATAGTATACGGCGCGCCAGATCTTAAGGCAACTATTTACATAATAATAATGTCTTAATAGGGATGATGAAAGAAATTAATCTGGAAAACTAACACCTGTCCAAAACCATATGGAAAAATTTATTTTAGACATCCAAGATACTGAGAAGTTAATAATCTAAATATGTTTGGATTTTCTTTCAAGCCATTTTATAAAAATTTTAGATGATATTCAAGGGTTTTCTAAAGGTTTGCAAAAACATTTCAAAATTTCCAAAGATTTCCTGGAAGTTCCAGATGGAATAAAGATATCTGGAATATATCATTTCCAGATAATACCGAGTTTTCTAAAGTTTTGCAATGATATCCAAGAATATCCAATTTTGTCCAGAGACATTAAGAGGATTTCCAGAATGATAAAAGTTTTTAGAGGTTTCCCAACACTTTTCAAAGCTCCTCTAAAAATTTTCAAGAATATACCCTAAGGTTTGACAATTTCGTTGTTAGACATCGAAACGATTTTCTAAGGATATAGAGGATTTTCAAAGTTGTCAAAGTATTCTCAGATGATTTCTGCACCTTTTATAAGGATTTCCAACGACATTAAAAATTTCTAACAATTACCTAAGAGTTCCAGAAAATTTCCAGAATGATAAAAGTTTTTAGAGGCATCCCAAGACTTTTCAGAGCTTCTCTAAAAATTTTCAAAAATATACCGGGTTTTTTAAGGTTTCTCAATGATATCCAAGAATATCCCATTTTGTCCAGAGACATCAAGACGATTTTCTAAGCTTTTGGAGGAATTTCAAAGTTGTTCAAAGATTCTCAAACAATTTCTGCAGCTTCTATAAGAATTTCCAGAATGATAACAGTTTTTAGCGATATTCCAAGGCTTTTCAGAACTCCTCTAAAAAGTTTCAGGTATATAGCAGGTTTTCTATAGCTTGGCAATGATAGCCAAGAATATCCAATGTTGTCCAGAGACATCAAGACAATTTTTTAAGCTTTTAGAGGATTTTCAAAGTTGTCCAAGGATTCTCACACGATTTCTGCAGCTTTTCTAAGGATTTCCAACGACATCAAAAATTTCTAACGATTACCTGAGAGTTCCAGATAATTTCCAGACTGATAACAGTTCTTAGAGGTTTCCCAAGACATTTCAGTGCTCATTTAAAATTTTCAAGAATATACTGGGTTTTCTAAGGTTTGACAATTATATACAAAATATCCAATTTTGTCCAGAGACATCAAAATGACTTTCTAAGCTTTTAGAGGATTATTATTTCAAAGTTGTCCAAGGATTCTCAGACAGTTTCTGCAGCTTTTATAAGAATTTCCAACGACATCAAAAATTTTGAAAGATTTCCTGAGAGTTCCAGAGGATTTCCAGAATGATAACAGTTTTTAGAGGTTTCCCAAGACTTTTCAGTGCTGCTTTAAAAACTTTGAAAAGTACACCGGTTTTCTAAGGATTTTGCAATAATATCCAAGAATATCCAATTTTGTTCTGAGACATCAAAACGAATTTCTAAGCTTTTAGAGGATTTTCAAAGTTGTCAAAGGATTCTCAGACGATTTCTGCCGCTTTTATAAGGATTTCCAAAGACATCAAAAATATCTAAACATTACCAGAGAATTCCAGAGGATTTCCACAATGGTAAAAGTTTTTATAGGTTTCTCAACTTTTCACAGCTTCTTTAAAAATTTTCAAAAATATCCCGGGTTTTCTAAGGTTTGGCAATGATATCCAAGAATATCCCATCTTGTCCAGAGACATAAAGACGATTTTCGAAGCTTTTGGAGGATTTTCAATCTTGTCCAAGGATTTTCAGATGATTTCTGCAGCTTCTATAAGCATTTCCAGAATGATAAAAGTTTTTAGAGGTATCCCAAGACTTTTCAGGACTCTAAAAATTTTCAAGAATATACCGGGTTTTCTATGGTTTGGCAATGATAGCCAAGAATATCCAATTTTGTCCAGAGACATCAAAACGATTTTCTAAGCTTTTAGAGCATTTTCAAAGGTGTCCCAGGATTCTCAGGCGATTTCTGCAGCTTTTATATAAGGATTTCCAACGACATCAAAAATGTCTAAAGATTATCTAAGAGTTCCAGAAGATTTCCAGAATGATAACAGTTTTTAGAGGTTTCCCAAGACTTTTCAGTGCTGCTTTAAAAATTTTGAAGAATACACCGGGTTTTCTAAGGATTTTGCAATAATACCCAAGAATATTCAATTTTGTTCTGAGACATCAAAACGATTTTCTAAGCTTTTAGAGGATTTGCAAAGTTGTCAAAGGACTCTCAGGCGATTACTGCAGCTTTTATAAGGATTCCCAAAGATAGTAAAAATTTCCAAACATTACCAGAGAGTTCCAGAAGATTTCTAGTATAGTAAAAGTTTTTAGAGGTTTCCCAAGAATTTTCGGAGCTTCTCTAAAAATTTTCAAGAATATACCGGGTTTTCTAAGGTTTGGCAATGATATTCAAGAATATCGAATTTTGAGCTGAAACATCAAGACGATTTTCTAAGCGTTTAGAGGATTTTCAAAGTTGTCAAAGGATTCTCACATGATTTCTGCAGCTTTCATAAGGATTTCCAACGACATTAAAAGTTTCTAAAGATTACCAGATAGTTCCAGAGGATTTCCAGAATGATAAAAGTTTTTAGAGGTTTGGAAATGATAGCCAAGAATATCAAATTTCATCCTGTCCAAGGATTCTCAGACGGTTTTTGCAGCTTTTATAAGGATTTCCAACGACATCAAAAATTTCTAAAGATTACCTGAGAGTTCCAGAGAATTTTCAGAATGATAAAAGTTTGTAGATGTTACCCAAGACTTTTTAGAACTCCTCTAAACATTTTCAAGAATTATACCGGGTTTTCTAAGGTTTGGCAATGATATCCAAGAATATCCAATTTTTTCCAGAAACATCAAGACGATTTTCTAAGCTTTTAGAGGATTTCCAAAGTTGGCCAAAGATTCTCAGAAGGTCAAGCAATTCTTGCTGACAACGGGTTTTTACTCCTCTTCGGAATTTCTGGACCACGACCTCTCAGAGCAAGATTTTGATATATAACCTATTTTGTCAGACATGGTAGTATCGGTTGTGATGAATGTTTAATTGTAGTGTATCGGTACCGTATGTATTAATTTTTCTTTTGACTTGATGGGTGTAAAACACATTTGTAATTGCACGAATAAATTCTATTCTATTCTATTGAGATGATTTCCGCAGCTTTTATAACGATTTCCAAAGACATCAAAAAATTCTAAAGATTACCTGAGAATTCCAGAGGATTTCCAGAATGCTTCTTTAAAAATTTTCAAGAATATTCTAAGGTTTGGCGCAATGATATCCAAGAATATCTAATTTTGTCCAGAAACATCAAGTCGACTTTCTAAGCTTTTAGATCATTTTCAAAGTTGTCGAAGGATTTTCAGACGATTTCCGCAGCTTTTATAAAGATTTCTAAAGACATCAAAAATGTCTAAAGATTACCTGAGAGTTCCAGAGGATTTCTAGAATGATAAAAGTTTTTAGAGGTGTTCCCAAAACTTTTTAGAGCTCCTGTAAATATTTCCAAGAATATTTCTAAGGTTTGGCAATGATATCCAATTTTGTCCTGAGACTTGCATAGATATTAAAAGATTCTCTGAAGATTTCTGTAGTTTTTCAATGATACAGAATTTCTAAAGATGTCTTTGGAAGTCCACCATAAGTATCGAAGTCGGCCGCCACAAAGTAGAATTATTGCTTTAATCTTAACCCGAATAGACACCTTCAAGATTTATTATAAAATGCCACTTTATAATCTTACAATAGATAACACTTAATTATTAGTATCTCTGCTAACATAATCAAACTACAGATTTTTGAAAATAAAGTTCAAAAGCAGAAACTATATAAATATGTTGAAACATTTACTGATAATCATTAAAGTTACCCAAGTTATTTTTTTGTTATGCAATTTAAAGTTTATTGCAAATTCCAAATTTGAAACGATTACGTTGGGTTGGCATTAATTTTCGTTTTTGCAGTGATTAAGCAAATACAAATAATTTTTAAATTCAAAAACGATAAATTTTCAAGGTCGATAC